GCCCATGATCTTCTTGGTTAACATCTTGTAAACAACATTAGCACTGCTGTCTTGGCCTCTGAAGAGAAAGACAAGAGATCAGCCTCTAATCCCTAGACAGTCTCTGTGTTTCTGGCAACAATGAATAATGGTCTGTGCAATGACTGTCCAGGGAGATTGTGGCAACATATTACAAATGTAGTATGAAGAAGGAACAAAGAATTCGAATCTCAGCTGAGAGAATTGGGGAACACTGCCATGTAGACTACTTGTTCAGATCTTGGTATACTCTAATCTATGCTACCTCCACTCCTTTCATTCCCAATGCAAAAAATATCAACCACCATTGTACGCTGCAGCTTAGAAAAAATCAGTATTGTGGACTACAATTTGATGGCCAAAATCTTGTTACTTCGCTTAGTAGCTCATACTAGACCATGTAGTTGAATCAGAGGGATTTAGGGAGGAATTGGCTCATCATATCCACTGTTTCAATGGGCCTACTCTAGTGTGATTTACTAAGCTAAGCAATAGGATTTCAGCCTCTCTTTGTGTGTCTGTGTGTATCTGCACATGTATATTTTGAAACTGTAAAGGCTGACACATTTTATCTGGAATAAGCTCTCCTGGAATTCATCCCACTTCTCCATGATTTTTCATGGACTACAGTCCAGGAAAAATTAGTCTTTAAGACTCTGTTGATTTTGCTGCAGTAGACTATAGACCAACACCCTTGCCTCTCTGGAAATTTCCACTTATATATAAAAAACTGTTTTCTGTGTCCTGCATTTTTTTCACCATCAAATGAGAGAGAGAGAAACCATGGAGAAATGAATGGCTAGCCACTGGATGTGAAAAAGAAACTTATAAACAAGGACAGCTAAAGGCATAAGATTACAGCTAATTCCTGTTCACTTGTAAAGTTGATAGTGCTGACCTTTTTCCTATAGGGAACAGAAGTGTTACAGACATGGAATTCCCCTGATGTCAGTCTGTTTCCACTTCTATGGGCAGCAGAGGTGTGAAAAGCGAGAGGGCCCATAGCTCAGTGGCAGAGCACGTGTCTTGTGTGGAGAAGATCCCGGTTTCAATCTGCAGCACCTCTAAGCAAAGCTGAAAGAACTCCTGCCTGAAATCTGGCAAAGGCACTTTCAGTTAATGTTGGCATTACCAGGCCAGATGGACCGAGAGTCCGATTCAATATAGGGCCAGTTTCCTAACCATGCCTCCCATCCACATGTTCGTAGACTCCAGCTCCCACTATCTCTCATGACAGACCGTGGCTTGGACTGGTGGGAATGTGTGGATGCACAGCAGGCGTGGCTTCAGCTCACCATCCCATGCATTGCATGAGACCATCTCCACCCCCTACACACATCTCAGGCTTCTCTTCCGCTGAATACTCTTCTTAAAATCTGTGAAGACCTGAAGAGGACCACCAGAGAGAGGAAGACATGTGGCAGAGCAAAGTATCAGCAGTAGCAAAGGAGGGCTTTTTCCTTCTTAAATATCTATCTCCAAAGCTGAGGAAGAAGAGAAACGTCACCAAACACTAAGTATCCCCCACTCCCACATACTGTACAAACCTTCCATATCCTTCCCTAAACTTACATTGATTTTATTTTGATTTATTGTACTGACCGCACCTTCTCCCTCTAGCACAGTGGTTCTTAACCTTTGTTACTCAGGTGTTTTTGAACTGCAACTCCCAGAAACCCCAGCCAGCAGAGCTGATGGTGAAGGCTTCTGGGAGTTGCAGTCCAAAAACATATGAATAACAAAGGTTAAGAACCACTGCTCTAGCAGACCCAGGTTGATGGTCCCCTTTGTTGCCATCATTGCCTCTTCCTTTTTCCTTTTCAAGCCAGGTATTGTAACGCCAGCCTCTGGTGCAGTGGAATGTACTTTGCCATCTGAAGCAACCGCCTCAGCCTGCCTAATGCTAGGGCTGTCTGTAATGTGGACCCATATCCACAGAGATGAATCTTTTTTCTAGTTCTGTTCCAGATTTCTCCCAAACACATCGCTAGAGGAACAGTCGCACTCATGCAGTTCCTGCCCTAGTATGTTCTCTCTCTCTCTCTCTCTCTCTCTCTCTCTCTCTCTCTCTTTCCCCCCGGTTGTTTCTCCTAAGCCAGCTTTTGCTGTTTAATCTAACCCTCCTGCACCGCTTCTCCTCTGCTAAAACGTGCACTTATTTGCAAATAAATAAATAGTTTAAACTCCTCTCAGGAAGACACTTGGAACCAACTAAAAGGCATGTTTCTGCATTTTTCGCCTGTGTTTGAAAACACTGGCACAGGGACGTAGCAGGCTGACGCTGCGATTGGCTTCTTTAGCAGGGATACTCTGCAGTATTTCTTTCCAAATCATTTCTGCAAGCTGTTTTCTCAACCCAGCGCTGCAGGCAGCTTTCCCTACTGGGAACATACCATTCTTTTCTGTCCTTCTGATGGGAATAACAACACACAACTTGATAAGTATGTCCCCCCCCCTCCCGATGTTATTAGGCAAGCAATTCAGGTGATGACTCAATATGATTTTGTCCATCAATCCTCCACCCCCCCCACACACACACATATCCTCTACCTCCCACCAACAACAACAACACTACGATAGGGTGCTGGCAAAGTGAAATATATATATACTGGTGAGGGAGAGCTGGGGTTTGTTTTCATTTAAAACGGCTATTTACTCTTGTTTTGCTTTGGAAAGCTGCGGCCAAAGAGGTCTTGTTTACATGGTGGCCGCCAAGTGACACTTCAAACCCAAATTTCGGTTTTCTTTTCAAACTAGACGTTGTTTTCATTGCTTTCCTAGAAACGTAGGGATAGAGTGTCTTTCGAATCCACTGATGTCTTGTTTTTTTTTAAATTCCTCCCTTTGAAAGAAACTCTTTTAACCCCAACTCCAGACATGGACTCCAGAGTTGCCCCCCCCTCCACACACATCTCATCCTTCAATGCCAACAAGGTGACCTCAGACTTGGGGGGTTGAGGGTGATTGGCAGGCTAGAGATGTCGGTAAGAGACCTCTAGTGGCCAGTGGGATGCTCTGCAGCTGAAAACCAAGGCACAAATGATTTATGACTACAATCATAGTTGCAGAAGCCATGCCTGATCACACAGGAAAGGATGCAATCTCTCTTAAAACAACCCTTCCATCTGCTGGGGAATAGGTCCAGTCTGGCCCCCCCAAAAAGCAGAAGGCCTACAGCAGGGCCAAAAAAAAATTTCAGCTTTGGCACAGATCAGGATACAGTGGTGCCTCGCTAGACGATGATAATCTGTTCCACTGAAATCGCTGTTTAGCGAAATCATTGTCTAGCGAAAAGCATTTCCCCATTGGAATGCATTGAAACCTAGTTAATGCGTTCCAATCGGGAAGAATTGTCTTTGTCTAGTGAAGATTAACCATAGGAAAGCCGCTTCGCGAACCGCCGATCAGCTGTTTAAATCGCTGTCTTGCGAAGCTTAGGTCCCGAAAACACGTGTTTTGCGAGCGCGGAGGGAGCTGTCAGAATCGTCGTCTAGCAAAAATCGGTTTGCGAAGCAGGGACCAAACATTGTCCAGCGAAATTCCCCCACAGGAATCACTGTTTTGCGGATCGCTATAGTCAATGTCTAGCGAAAAAACTGTCATGCGGGGTAACTGTCTAGCGAGGCACCACTGTATAAGGCTAGAGCCCATTTCCCTTTGACTGCATTCTACAAACAGAAGCTCGCTGGACTTGCATTTAAAATTTCAACAATGGTGAGGGATTTTGTTTGCCACGACACCCAGAGGCACAAGCTACTTTAGCGTGTGAAGAATTTATATCATATGCAGTTGTGTTCACCAACAAAGGGGTACCAACAGGGAGTCCAATACCTCATATTGGAAAACACCAATAGATCTCTTATGAAACTTGGATACCATAAAGAGGCTTTCAGTTTGCCAACTTGATACCATCCAATATTCAAGTGATTCCCAAACATTTTCAACTTTTGTCTCCCTTATTGGCCACTGGCTGCATCTCCCAATACAATATTCTGGATGATGGAGGAATACAAGGGTCTTAACTCATGGGGCTGAAACATCATTTCCCATTCTGCCCATTGCAACACAATGTCCTGTGCTGACCCTGATTCAGAATTGTTCTGGGGGAAAATTTCTATTTCTTCCTCTCACAAGTTTCTGTACTGCTCTCTGAAGACTCTATATACCTCAGCCTGTCATATCTATCAACGGGCCCAGCAGGAGATATTAATCAGAAGATAAACTGGCAGCAAGACTCCAGCCTTCAATTTGATGTGACAGACTGGGATCCTTCCCTGGCATCCATTTTTGGCAAGTTGTGTTTTTTTTAAAAAAAATTTGTTAAGGAGAGAAAAATGGTCCTTATACTTCCTCTCAGTTAGTTATTTTATATATCTATTTATTTATTTATTTTTAAAAAAATCTGCCTGTAACATACCTTTATTTCCAGAGTGTGTTTCTTTTAAAAACAAACAAGAAAACAAGCCAATAGATCTTACATTTTAAAACACAACAAATACTATCATAATAAATTACCAGGATGAACAGCAGATATTAGAAACAAGCAAAAAATATATTTCATTGGAACTACTTAGAACGCTTGTACAAAAACAAACATTTGCTCAGTGATAGATTAAATTTGACCCTCTTCTTCCTGAACAACTAGTGACTCATTTTTAAATGAACTTGTTCTCAATTTATAGAAAGGGGAAATACAGCAAGAAGCAATTTTATTTGTCCTTCTAAGAAGTGCTAAAGAGTTATTTGTCCCATAAAATCCTCTCCCTCAAGGCTAATGCTGGGCGTTGATCAGAAATGCTAGTTAATGGGATTGTACATAAGTCATGTTTTAACCATAGAGTAGGTTCTTGTTTGCTCTGAAAGCCACAAACCCCCGAAAGGAAATGTAGGAGAATAGTGGGAGGACAGTGACAAGAAACCTCATGACCTCATCCTTTCCGCCTCGTGGGGGATTGGCTGGCTGGTGTCTGAAATAGAGTTTAAATTCCAGAAGCCTGCAGATGGAAATCAGCAGAAGAGGAGAAGGACGAATAAGCAGAGCCTTCTGAAAAAGAAATCCAGCCATTGCCTTGAACTTCACCCAACAGATTCAACTCCTGCTTGAGGCTCCGTGTCAGATCCAAGCTGAACACAAGGTACCTAATGCCTTTTTCCTCTCCTTTTTCCCCCTCTGTCGCTTGTTCTATTTCCACTGAGTTGAATGCAATGCAGCAATAGTTGAGGAGGCTTTATAAAACTCCTGCAGCCTCAGAGGATCATAGCAAAGGAAGCAGGGCAACGTGTACAGTATTAATGTTAATTTCCAACATCCCTTTTGTTTACACCTGGAAAAATATTCAGGTGTGCACAGGGGACGCAGTTTGCAAAGCAGTTTCACTAAGAATTTGCTCTACCCCAATGCTGTCATTCATGTGAATACTTTAATTGCAAGATGCAACTAGCATTCTGCGACCCCTTATGCTGTATTTTGAATATTTGCAGTCTAGTGGCTTATGCTTAGAGAGGGAGGGAGAGCATTATGTTGTGGTTAAAATACAGGACTAAAAGTGGTCAGGGTTCAAACCTCTAGTCAATGGATGACAGAATGTGACAATCTAAGCTCCAGAAACAAGGATTCCCAACTGTTTTACTGTCAGGGCTCCTGTGCCTCTAACATCTGCATTATCCATACAAGTGTTTCAGCCCGTAATGCAGATATTAAAACCCAGAAGATCCCTATCAGGGAAACTCAATCACAATCATAGCAGCAGTCGTTTTCTGTAACCCCAGACATGCTGGAGGATTTTAAGATTACTTGGTTGTGAGGGAAAGTCACTCTGCGTATGCTCAAGTGCATTCCATTATTATTTCATGTGTTCTGAAAGGATGTAAGCCTTAATTAATTAAACCTTGCCAGTTCCAGATACTGCTGTGCCATCGTTTCTTGTGTTATGCCTTTTTTAAATTAGCAATTTGCTTCTTGCCAAAAGCATTTTGTGTGGTAACTGTAATTAATCATTGAAAAAGCATAGGCATCGCGTCCACCCGCTTTGGTCTGCAAGAGTTTTATTCAAATATGCTTTGGTGCAATGTTTTCGCATCGATCCTCTCTCTTAACAGAAGTGCTCATTAACCTTGTATGCAGAAGGGCAATGCGCAGGGAGGTGTGCCAGCTTCCCCATCAGCCTGGCTGCTAATACCTGGCATTCCAACATGATTCATCAGTTTCTGATGTCCCCTGAGGCCTGATTCATCAGAGATTTTTTGCCTCAATGTCAGATTGAGCAACGCGATCTCTCCTGACTTGGAAATTTGAGCTTGTTTTCTCACTTTATTCTTGCTGCTTATTCTTCTCATTGATTTGCCCCAGTCCTAAATACATTTACTCCACAATAAGAAAGTGGATCTCATTGAACCCAGGGATCCTTACTAAAAAGTACAGCACAGGGCTGGGCTGTTAACTAGTTTCTTACTTGTGGGTGCTATTGGCTGCTTGGAAGTAACTTGAAGAACTCCACATTCTATAAGCATCTTGATTAGACCTCTGAACTAAGCATGCAGTCATGACTTGTTGGGTTGCATGTTATCTGCAAAGTTCACCAAATCTTCCATTTCTCCAATTCAAGCAAAGTGTTGGACTGAGAAGTTTCTCTGGCTCGCCTTTTTCAGCTGTTGGATAACTGCAGTGATCTCCTGCTGCTCCAATTAGCTTTGTCAAGGGCTAGCACAGAGAAACAAAGGGAATTGACGGATCTGATGCGACACAATTTCTCTGCCAAAGAACACCAGTCGAGAGCTATCTGGAAGAAAGGCAAGAGGTGGGGGTGGGGGACTCAGAAAGCATAGCTCAGGATAATTCTTCAAGGAATGTTTACAAGTCAGAATCTAGCCTTGCTTGGGCTTCCTTTGGGAGGCATATGTTTTTAAAATAAATTATTCCACTCTAGAAACGAACAGCATAAAAAAAAGCTGAGTCACCAGCGAAGACATCAGCAAAGAAACATGAAATTTGAATTAAAGAAAATGCAGCATGTGTTGCAGTCTTTTCTGAGCTGCATCACTTTTACCTCAGGCTGCAACATGACATACTCAGGTGCCCATACATGTAACTCCAAAATGTTGAAAAGACAGGCTTCATTTCATCTTGAAGAGTTACTAACAGAGAGAGAAAGAGAGAGAGGAGAGGAGAGAGAGAGAGATTCAAACATGCTTTCTTCCTTCTGTGGTTTGAGATGGTACCCTCCAGGAGGGTGTTTACTATGCATTACATTTACATATTTAGATTGGCCCTTAGGTATCTGGCAGCAGAGCTAGAGGTTAGGAGTTTGATTCTCCACTGTGCCTCCTTGAGAGGGGTTGGACTCTCCATAGGGTTCCCTTCAGCTCTGCCCTTCTAAGCTTATTAACATCTTATTATAAAACAAAAAGTGAAATGTTCATTTTGTTTTTGAACAGAATTCCTGTCAACTGACCATTACAAAAGAGTCAAGAGAAGCCCATCGCCATGAAGATTGCTATCCTCTGTTTGTGTCTCCTCACCATCACCTTTGCCCACCCAGTAAGTAAAACATGTAAACAACAAATAAGCCAATAAGAGCTGCACATGTCTCTGTAATGTAGTGGCCACACAATGAATCAGTAGTGACAATCTGTTCTCCACCGCTTCCTTTTTCAAAGGTCCGTAAATCAAGACATCATGATGATGGATCAATGAGTGCAGAAGGAAGACATGTAAGTGTCTTTTCTTGCAATCCCTTCCTTTTATCATTAGCTTACAGGGAGAAGTGCATTCAGGCAGCAAAGAATATTGGTTTAGCTCTCATAGTAATGCTTATATTCTTTCCTTCTTTCCTTTGGTTTCTGCTGAAGGGTGGGAACTGTGCACTCCTATCGTTCTTTAGCAACTTACTCTGGGTATCTATTTAACCAGCCCATGCCAATGCCCCTCTGCTCTATGCCATGGAACATTACTTGTTTAATGCTGACATCAGATCTTGTATTGTTGCAGGATTCTAGGGGGCATCACCATCATGGACACAGACATCACCACCATGATTCACACAGCCAGGAGCACAGCCAGGAGCATAGCCAGGAACATGTGCACAGCCATGAGTCCCAAGAGCAACAGGTGTCCTCCCAGCTGGTATGAAATTTCTCCTCTTCAATGATCGGTCTAGCACAACTGCTCTCAATCTGCTGCTCTCCAGATGTGCCAGAGGATAATTCCCAGAAAGTGTTTCCTTGAACAACAACTCCCAGAATGCCATGCTTGGTTGGCTTGGGAATTCTGGGAATTGCACTCCAAAAAAGTCGGTCTCTCTCAATTCTAGCCTAGACTCCACTTGATTGAAAGGGGAACAAAAGAACAGTCTAGCACAGCTGGTGGTGAAGGCTTCTGGGAGTTGCAGGCCAAAAACACCCGAGTAACCCAAGGTTAAGAACTACTGGTCTACTCTATCACAGTGGTCCCCAACCTTGGGCCTCCAGATGTTCTTGGACTACAACTCCCAGAAGCCTTCACCACCACCTCTGCTGGCCAAGATTTCTGGGAGTTGAAGTCCAAAAACATCTGGAGGCCCAAGGTTGGGGACCACTGCTCTATCAGATCAAGAGTCCAGCTTCCTGTTCCCAACCATGGCTAATCAGATGCTTCTGGGAAACTCACAAGCGGGATTTCAAGGAACTAGCACACATTCTCCATTACTCTGCCAGCAACTGATATTCAGAGATATACTTCCTCTAAAACTGGATATCCATTTTGCGGTCATGATGTCTAACAGCTATTGACAAGCCACCCTTCCTAAGCTGAGTTTTCTGCAGATGTATTGCACTACAATTCTCATCATCTCCATTGCCTATATAGGCTGGGCATAAGGGGAGTTGCAGTTCAACACCTCAGGAGGGCACCAGCTTGGAAAAGACTACGATAGTTCTGGCCCAGGCATGTGTCTAATCCTCTCTTAGTCATCATGCTATTGTGTACTAACAAATTCCAAAGTTAACTAAGTAGTGTGTGTGAGAGAGAAATCCTTTTGGTTTGTCCTGAATCTATTCTCATTTTAGAGAATATTTTCTCGTTTTAAGGATGGCATTACCTAGAACTAAATGCTTAAATCTTTCTTAATTCATTGGAATCCTTAATTATGTGAGGAATTTGCATTTACAAAATGAATATTTCATTTTCAGAGTGCTCCATCTTCCGAAGAAAGTGAGGAGATCACTGAGCAACAGGTAGGTTGTTTTTTTTTTTATCACACAGCACCCATATGAGAATTTACTGAACAAGGCTTGCATGAGCACTTCTGCTGTGCATGCACTACAATATCATTATATTTGTGTGCAATTATATCTGTGTTTTCCAACCACAGACTTAGTATTGCTGTTTTCCTGCAATACTAAAAGATCTGGGGTGAGCACACGTAATAGGGTGAGCCAGATGCAAAGTTAAACAGGGCCCAACAACTTTGTGGATGTACAGAAGACTTCACTTTGTCCAGCCCTAAATAGTAGCATATTGTAGTTCTTAATCTGGTTAGGCTACTGCCAGTTAGGCTATTCATTTCCTGGAAGGCACGCAGAAAAGAGGAATGATGGGCCCTGTTTCCCAACCACATCTCCTAAAGTAGCCTGCTAGCAAGTGACAACTGTCTGTGGATCAGATTTGGACCAGGATCCTTCAGTTGCTCATCTTTACCCATCAAAATATTATACCAGGAAGCTTCTTTTGAATTTTCTTTGCATAATCAAGAGCTGAGTCATTAAAAAAAGCAAATGCTATAGGGTCACTAGCTTTATGCCATTGCCAAACAATGAACAAGATGGACTTTGCATATGCTCAAAGACATTGTATTCTTTTACTTCTAGCCAAAAGGCTTGGCACTGGCCATATAGCACCCAATATCATATCCTGTGTTTAAACTATGCAGTAATGGGGAGTGCCCATCTATTAAAACCTTCTATACATGGTGTATTCTCTTCCAGACCCTTCTGGTTCCTGCTGTTGCCAGCAAGAGCATGGAGGATGATGACAATCACAGTGATGTGGATGATGACGATGATGACCATAGTGATTCAGACGACTCCGATGAGTCACACGAAGGCACTGTCACTGATTTACCCACCGACAGCCCTTTTACCCCACCTGTGCCTCCAGATCCCTTTACAGGCAGAGGAGACAGCGCACCCAACGGAATAAGGGCAAAAGTAGACCTGGTGCATTTTAAGAAGTCATACAAGAAATCTGGAAAGGTAAATCCCCTTCCTCTGTTTGCTCCTCTTAGGGCCTTGAATCACAACACAAGACTCTGATTCTACTTCTGGAAGCAGTGATTCCTTTAGGCAGGCATAACCAAGCTGGAGGCACATGGGAAATAAAACGTGTACTTCTGTCCCCTTCCACAGGTTGAATGGTACCTAAAAATGGCTGTTTTAACCAACTTTTTGGGAGGGGGCGGGAGAAAACATAAGGCATCCAGACAGACACTTTTGGTTTGGAGATGGGCTTAGGAGGACCTGCCTTAAGACCCAAGACCTGCTTCTAGAGGCATTCAGAACAGAAAAATCACTCCCTCCACATTATTCAGGGTGCCTAAAAATGCCCCAGAGGGCACACATAGTCCAGGTTCCACATTTTGCTCACCCTACCATAAAGGAGAAAGATGGTTTACACCAGTGGTCCCCAACCTTGGGCCTCCAGATGTTCTTGGACTTCATCTCCCAGAAATCCTGGCCAGTAGAGGTGGTGGTGAAGGCTTCTGGGAGTTGTAGTCCAAGAACATCTGGAGGCTCAAGGTTGAGCACCACTGGTTTACACTAACATGAGCTTCCCTCAATCCACAGTGGGCAAATTAGCTTGCTTTTGTTTTATCTTCGGTCATTTACGAAATGGTGCTGCTTGTATGCATATCTGATGAACATTTGTTCTTGTGGAAAGATAAGAATGTAAAAGAGAGTTAATTAATTAAACAGTCTTAATTAATTCAACCTAAGACACACCCATATATAAATGGATTGTAGACTACACAAAAGCGGCCTGAAATATGGTACATGGGAATTTTGCTTAACCTTAGTAGTCTCTTCCTCTTTTATTAGCTGTGTGATAACTGATCTATTTAGATGTCTATTACCAATCTATTCAGTACATTTTGCTCCCATGATGTTTTTGCCTGCTGAATTCCTTCTCCATCATCAACTTGAGTTAATTCTTCTTGACAGTAACCACGTTGTATGTCATCACTGGTGTTTTCAATTCTAGGCCAACCCATTCTCCTCCCTTTAATTCTTTGCACCAATTGGGGATGACTGGCAGAAAATGAAGCCAATGCTACATTATGAAGGCCATTTGCCATAGCAGCCTTTGAAAGCTGAACATTCAAAAACAAAATATTTGGATAGTGTCGCTTGTGGTTGCCAACTGAAACAGGGAGCAAGATTCACAAAGAGAGTTTTGAAGGAAAATGACAGTGTTTGAGGAAATTCCCTGACTTAACAACAACAACGGATGGGCAAGACATCTAAAAAAATACCAGGGGGGAAAAGTCTGGGATTCCCAAATACTTGGCAGACACATGTTTTATATTTTATTTCTAAAAATGGAAATTCCAGAAAAGAGACTTTCTTTCAGCCTCCCAAAGATATAATTTATTTTAAAATGAAACATGAGTTAGCTGGCTAGTTGATATGGGAAATCTTATCAGCAGGATTCAGCACAACATTCCTATGGATTCAACACCATATTTCATAAGAATTTGGTGATGTGGGTGGGTGGTTCTGCCTTCCTCTGCACACATACACACCCTGCAGACACAAAATTGGCTCTGGGGGGTTAGGATGACTTCCAAATTCAGTTGGCATGGAATGTGAAAAGGAAGGGAGAGGAAGAAGCTTCCATGACATTTAACCAATGGAATGTCCAGTTTCTGTTATATACCACTTTATGTATCAAAGCTTCACACAAAGAAATTGGTAATGCTATTGCCACCCCCACCAGTCCAGTTCCCTGCTCTGAGCAGGGCGTTGGACCCAATGGCCTTACAGGCACCTTCTAACTCAATTATTCTATGTTTCTGTGATTCTATATTGGACTCTAGTTTCCATCAGCCCTCTCTAACATATCGAGTTAGATGACTGACGTTGTAGAACAACATCTGGAAAATGATATGCTCTTGATGCCTGACTGATTATTATATTTCATATTCTCTGCTTGGAAGCTATTTGGGGTATTCTCTGTAAAAAAATGAGTTGAAAGCTCTAAGCTGAACTAAGCTGTTTAGATTTCTCTGCTAGAAATTTATGTATAAAGGATGGCAGTCAACTCAGCTTATAATAATTCTGTAGATAGCTCTCCTGACACTGGGTTGATTTTTTTTCTTCCTTCTAGTTTGACTCCCATGATGTCACAGATGATTTTGACAGCACTCCAGATGTGGAGAGCCATGAATCTTATTCCTCCAAGGCACATTCTCTGGAAAGTCATGACACAAGTGTAGAAAGTGATCTGAGAGAGAGCAATGAAGTCCACAGCACATCCCATGATAGAAGCTTAGAGAGGGCCAGCCAGCAAACACTGGAGAGTGTTGAGGATGACCAGGATGATGCTGACCATGATAACAGCAAGATCACAGCTTCCTTGGAAAGCCATGAGAGTACGGAGCTGCAGAAAGACTACCATGATGGGCTCCAACAGGTAGCCCATGACCGCAGTATTGATGATGTCAGCAACCAAACTTTGGAAAGCACTGAAGATCACCACAGTGTTGAGGATCGCCATAGTGCTGAGGATAAGCACAGTGTGGAAGACCACAGCATTGAAAATCACCACAGTGTTGAGAACCACAGCACTGAGGATCACCACAGTGTTGAAGATCACCACAGCATTGAGGACAATGAGGTCACCCTCTAAGTGGGGGGGAGGGGTAAGCAGAGCCCACACTTGCTTAAGATCACACCCCAGGTTTTTCACATGAAGAGTTGCAGCTACAAGTAGAGCCCAAATCCATCAGGAAGGGGGTCTTTTTGTTTCTATTTTTTTGCTGAGTTAGGGAGAGAGAGAGAATGGCCAATGCAATTATTACTTGAATGTTTGCTGCCAACTATATATATACACAAGCCTGATTTTGAGCGGTAGCAATTATAGGCAATGTGTGTGTTTTTTTAACCAGGCAAAATGTCCAACCTAATAGTGTGCTTATCTACTTGGAAGTAAATCCTACTGATTTCAGAGGGGCTTACTCCTAAGTAAGCATGCTTAGGATTTCAGTCCCAACTGTACAGTATTAGCAACTCTGCCCATCAGAAAATCGTAAGCCCTTCTTGCTGCATACCTCCCTGCTCCATTAAGAGGAAAAGAGAAAGAGATGCTAGGGGAAAAAATCTAGTTTTACACTCTGAGTGAATGTTGTGTATGTTATGATACTGTACTTCTAAAACGTTTCATGTTGCAATGTATATTTTGTTGACAATTGTGAGTTAAATAAAAAGACTAAACCTTACATAGCTGAGACAGGCCTTCATTCTTGTCCTGGTTTCCTGCATGCCAAAAGTCAGTGTGGCTTTCCTGCCCAACCAGCTGTGTTCACTGTAGCTCACCCTGTCTTGTCGCTGAAGGGGACAGGCTTCCTTGTAAGTATCCATCCAATAGCAGAGCTTTGCACAATAAGTGCTGGGAGTCATGGCAAAGAACAGATTATTCAATACTGCTTATAAGCAATGCATAATAATATGTACATACTAATAACTATGTGCGGTCAAGTCGATTCTGACTTATGGCGACCCTTTCAGGGTTGTTGTTTTTTTCTGGGGCAACCTGGCACTGTGCAGCTTGCCAAAGGCCACACAGGCTGGAACTTCCAGGATATCATCATCATTGTATTCGCGAAGGCTTTCACGGCCAGGATCTGATGGTTGTTGTGGGTTTTTCAGGCTCTTTGGCCGTGTTCTGAAGGTTGTTCTTCCTGATGTTTCGCCAGTCTCTGTGGCCGGCATTTTCAGAGGACTGGAGCATTGCAAAGCTGGAAGGCGCCCTAGGATCATCAAATCTATCCCCTGTCAAGGAAACACAATGGGCAGCTGAGTTCTCAGCCTCTGGCTCTGCAGCTGGAAACCTAACTCACTGAGCTATTCAGCCAGCACATGCATATTGCATAGTTTTTAGAATTTTGAGATTCCTCTGGTGTTATATAACCGACATTGGGATACAAAACTTGACCAGTCTTAAGGAAGGGTGGCTAATTCCGAAGCTTCCAAAGACCTCTTTCCCTTCCCGGGGACCTTGGAGGATCACACCACCATCTGATAGCATGCACACACACACACATATACACACACACTTGTCTGCAAGAGGTAAACTGCAATCCCTAAGGCCTCCTAAAAGTGCTGCTGCTGTTGTTTAAGATAAAGCCTATAGCTAAAGGGGCATTATTTGCATGGGGGGGGTGTTGGAGACAGGACCAGTCCTTGGTTTAGAAGGCTGCAATAACCCCCCTTACTTTGCCCATCTAGCCATAAAGGACTTCAGCTAGAAAAGGGATTCTATCTGCAAAACCCCTAAGTCTTAATCTTCATTTCTGCAGTGGGAAATTAGCAGCCAACCCAGTCTAATAGGCAGAAACAGAATGCTCAGCTTCCATTTCTCCCTTTGCCCCCCCCCTCGGCTGCACCCAGTGGTGCAGCTAAGGCTGAATTTCAAGGGTAAGCCCAGGGCCCCACTGCTGAGTCTCCTTCCATGACTAAGTGATCTAACAAAGCCGGAAAATCTTTTTTTGACTTATCTATAAATATCACTGGTATATATGTACAGTAATGGGACAGAGATAGACCCAGACTCAAGCCTATACACATTTATTGGTCCAAAAGGCAAAACTGTGATAGATTACATGGTTCTTTCACATTCAGTATTGCCGTACTTAGAAAATTTTAAAGTTCTTAGTAGGCCCAAGAGTGATCATATGCCAATTCACCTGTCGCTTTCTTTATCAATTAGAAAATCATTAACAATAATGCCATGCAAAGAAAATATGATAGTTCGTGGAGAGAGAAGGTTGTGATGGACCAGAAATTTACAAGAACAGATGCATTTATTTCTAATGTCTCCCAAGCTCTTACTTTTAAGAGAGCAATTCTTTATTTCCTCCGACCCTTTGGAAAATTTTTGACAAAGTTGTTAACGTTCTTAGAACTTTTTTTGTCTTCTTCTAAGCCTGCTTGCATAAGACAGAAAATGCTATCGGGGATGGTTTGATGCCCAGTGTGCCACTCAGAAACAGATCCTGGCAGGAGCAATAAGGAGGCTAGAGGATTCATTAGAAAATTGTTCATCCTATGTTCAGCTCCGCAGAGAGTATAAAATCCTGCTTCGGCAAAAGAAGGACGAACACCTAAGGAAATCTTGGTTACAATTAGGTGCAGCAGCTTTGGAAAGAGATACGGCCAGGTTTTTGGTCCTTAGTGTCAAAGGGAAGCAATACTTATTCTGGTGCCTTAGACCAGTGGTCCCCAGTCTTACAAAAGAAGGACAAACACCTAAGGAAATCTTGGTTAGAGGTGCAGCAGCTTTGGAAAGACATACGGCCAGGTTTTGGTCTTTAGTGTCAAAGGGAATCCATACTTATTCTGGTGCCTTAGACAATCAAATAGCCTCCTCCCAAGGGCAAGTCCACTTTTCAGCTCTTTATAGTCAAACCATTTCTGGGACTAAACCCGACCATCCTTTAGTATGGCTCTGTTCTCTCTTTCATTTGGCCTTAATGGGACCCAGTCACTCCAGATGAAATAAATGATTTTATCAGCTCTTTGTCCAGTAACAAAGCTCCTGGTGAAGATACGCTCCCAGGAGAGTTGTTTAAGTCAAATACTTGCTGGTGATGTGCAGTGCTTGCTATTATGTTTACATACAAAAACCAGCATGAGAAAATATGTCAGGGCTGGGGTGTAAGCATAATTTTCCCTAGTCACAAAAGAGGCTCTAAAGCTGACCCGAACAATTTTAGACCAATCAGCCTTCTCAATGTAGTCTCCAAACTGTACTCCAAATATTTACTGGAGACATTAGAGTGCTGGGCTGCTGAAAACTCAGCAATAGCAGAAAAACAGGCAGGGTTCCAAAAGGAATTTGGAATTTTTCCCATCCACAATCAGGGATGTTAAGCTCTCAGTCCTTCTACATGCAGATGATATTGCAATGGTCTCCACAACATTAGTTGGTATGCGAAGACTCTTTACCAATTTGAGCAAATTCTGTGCAAGAGAACATCTGACTATCCATTACACCAAAATTAAAGTTTTAGTTTTTGGAAAGAAGAGGAAACTCCATATATGGAAGCTTGATGGCAAACCCATTGAGCAGCTATGCAATTTTAGGTATCTTGGCCTTTTTTTCAATGCCGAACATCCATGGAAAAACCATCTGAAAGCAATTAATCTGAAAGCATCTCAGTCCTCTCAGTCTCTTTTGTGGTTCACCACACCCCATTGCGAGAAGTTGAGGTGTTTGCCAAGAAAATAGTACCCCAAATAACATATGGCACAGAGATATGGGGAGTGGTCTGGTAGTCCAGATAGGCGGAGTATAAATCAAACAAACAAACAAACAAACAAACAAACAAACAAACAAATAAATAAATAAATAAATAAATAAAAAGATTTACATCAAAGAGGTGATCCAAAATCCATTTATTCAATCTCTTCTAACTGTGCCCCATAGCACACCTTCCACATATCTAAGGGCCGAAGTAGGACTGATTCCAATTTAAACACTTTCTCATATTGTGCTGGTCATATACTGGTTGAAATTGACTAGCATGAATGATTCTCTCCTTCCTAAGAAGTGCTACATAGAACAGCTCCAGAATCCATCTCGAAAATCCTGGGTGAATTTAGTTAGACCCATTCTGCAGAACTATGCATTTTCTACCTTTGTTTCAAATAGAGCTAAGCATCTGGTTAAAGAAAAAAAATTGTCTTTACTCTAAGAGGCAGGACCTCCACGCCATCTCAGAAATGTCCTATCCCTGTTGGTTCCCCTTCTATAAAACATCATTTTGTTTGGAGGACTATTTTGTTAATTTAACCTGAGCCCCTCTAAGAAAAGAGTTCACAGCTCTGCACTTTCAGTGTATACCAACAGCCATATTAGTAGGAAGATATGGAAATGTCCCTTTTGATCAAAGACTTTGTATATGTGGATCAGGAGAAGTTGAGGATGTTTCTCATTATTTGTTAAGATGTCCTTTATATGATCACACCAGGAGCAAATTCCTTGCAGGGATACTTAGAACTTTGTGTGATAGCCCTCGTTTAGTTCAACTTTCTATGCTACTTGTAGACAGGGATGCAATTACTACTAATCAAGTAGCAAAATTTGCCCTGGCAGCAAAGAAGATTCATGCCAAGCTTCAAAAATCCTAAAGAAGAAGGGAAGTCATACTTTTTTTAAAAGCAAATTTGTGATATGACATATGTTTGATGCTGTCATTGATATACAGTATTGCAATGACCTATGGTTTTAAGCAATCAGCCATTTGTGGCATTTGTATCTCTTCCCTCTTTTTTATTGTCTATATCCTTCTTTTCTTCCATGGAGCTTAAGATGCTATTCTCGGTTCTTCTGCCTCCATTGCATCCTTACAACCACCTTTAAGTTGCAGAGCTTATCCTTATAGCAAGTCAATGACAATTCCAAGACCATTCGGTAAACTTAATCCCGAAACTTTCCAGTAAATCCTAAACTAGCCATGATGCTACACTGCCTTCAAAACAGATGCACACCTATGTGCCCCACAGGAGTGAAAATATTAATCCTAACTCAGCAATATTAGAAATCCATGCAAAGGTGAAGATATATCTGTGGCTTGCATGCCTTTCTCACCCTCTCTTTCCTGCATTTCTTAATATATGAACTGAGCTGCAAAGAAAATTCTAAAACTCACACATTTTTAATCCTACAGAAATACTTCTCTCATTTCCTCCAGACAATGTTGCCAGAGGTTATATTACTTACTAAATGGCTTGGCACTTGGCCTGTAACAAAGGTTTACCTTGTGAAAATAAAATATTTCAGCTCCATTTTGTAACAAAATCTGCTCAGAAGCTTGTTGGAAAGGTTTTCATCTCAACCCTGTTGCTAGCATCTAGCTCCAGAATGCTGGAATAGGCAGGGGTAAGCTTTGAATGGCTCACTAAGATTTCAGGCCTTTCTTTCCAATTCATCTATGATCTGATGATCCTCAGGAGGTACCAGGTCTTAAGCTTGAGGTCCTTGCGTCTGCAAAATTATGCGCTCTGTCATTCAGGTATGGATATAGCCCTTCCTCAGTGACTCATCCTACACAGGTGGAGATCTGATCAGATCATGTAGGCTTCTCATTTAATGTTTAACTCATCAGTGGGGTGGAGTGAAAGAAAAACTTTAGGGATTTTCTAAATATAGAGATTGCATTTCCCAAATTATGCTCCCTTTGACTTAGGTTGTTAATGAGTACATGTTGTGCTTGAA